GGTGACGTCGCTCCTCCTGGTCGCTCCTCCTGGGTCCAAGCGTGCCGCTCCAACCCCTTGGTCAGATGATCACCAGCCTCGCCTTTCCCGACTCGCTTCCAATACCTGGTCACTAAAGCAACTGTACCGATCTCCGGTCTGTCTACCCACGCTGTGTTTAGATCTTAGACAGACGGGACCAGCAGGGATTGGGGCCGATACAAGTTGAGTCCGACGGGGGTGGCAAAACACAAATAAAAGAGAAAATAAACTCACGAGACAAAAAGATTGCTGATGAAAAAATGGGTAACAACCTTTTATATCTTAATGTCCGTTACATAAAAACAAATTGTTCTCATTTCCCAACCCGCTCTGTGGACTATGGCACAAGCTTCTATCACACAACCTAAAAGATTTCGAATTGCCTACTCTTTAGAATTGTGTATGTCGGAGTGTGGTTTGGTTCGACACTGGGGCTAATTTCTATCGATCATTCGCAGTTGATTCTTCTCTTCGACTTGAGTTGTATTTCTTCTTCTTCGTCGACTTAGGCTGGAAGTTCTCTTGTCTTCGACTTGGGCTGGAAGTTCTCTTGTCTTCGACTTGGGTTGTATTTCTTCTTCTTCGTCGACTTAGGCTGGAAGTTCTCTTGTCTTCGACTTGGGCTGGAAGGATCTCTTGCCGCAACTCAGCCGCAACTCTCTGTCGTCCGAGGTGATCTCTTCTCGCTGCCGTCCGGGGCTGAACTCTTCTGTCTTCGACTTGGGTGGAAGGATTTCTTGTCTGAGGATTCTCTTGCCCGCAAAGGGGCGAGTGAATCGGGCCTGATGCCCGCGTTCAGGCTCTATCCCTGCCCGCGGTCCAGCTGCAACTCTCAACTCAACTCAACTCAACTGATTTCTGTCGACTGGGGTCCTGCTTTTATTGACGCCGCAACAAACTGGGGTGGGTCTGTCGGCGTCAGGGGTTTTCGATAATTCCAAAAGTCGCATTATTTTGATTTCTCATTATCGCTATTGTTTTCACCCTACTTCCTCACAGTGCCTTTTGTGGGAGGTGCACCCCATCTCTCTTAGTCTCTCGTATGTCAGGTGACCGTTTTTCGACCAATGGTTCCTGATCGGGCATTTCTTTCTCTTCTTTTCTGCAGACCACGTGACCGTTTCCGACCAATTGTTATTGATCGAGCATCCTTTCTCCTCCGTTCGGGCGTGGTTACATCGTTCTTGTTTTTAAAAAAACAAAATCCAATTTTGCCTTTTCTGCACGTACGAAAAAATGACAATCTTGGCTTTCTCTCACCTGGGCTCTGTCAACCAGCCCGCCGCTAATTAGTTGTGACTTCAGGAAAGAATATTGTCGCCATCTGTGATCTGAGACAATCGTTTTTTTTCACCTCTTGTTTTGTGTCAGACCCGGCAGTCAGAAAATCTTAATTTATCTGAATTGAAAACATCTTTCACTCGTCAATGTGGGGGTTCTAATTTTTAACAGGTCAGAATCTGTATACCGTTCCACCGGTCACTCCCTCAACCCAAAAGACACTTTTTTCTTTGATTAAGATTTCGTTTTCATTGTTCCCAAAATTTCTCTTTATCCAAATTGATAAGATGTCTTTCTACGCAAAAGTAGGCTAGATGCTTTGACCGATATCTGGTTTTCATCAAGCGGCCCGTTTTGATATCATGTCTTTTCCCTTTCTTTCTTATTATTTCTAATTCTATTCTTCCAATTGTCTTTAAAAAATTCGGTCAACATGCTAGCTAAGATATCTTTCTGACTCGTGTTTTTGTTAATGACCGCTTTTTTTTGTATTTCTCGACCTCTCTCTTTCCCCTTCCTTCTTCTTCCCTTAGGATCGTCCAAGTACAATCTTAGTGAATTATTTTCAACTCAATTATTTTCCGTTTTAAAAAAAATCAACAACCTGTTTAGTAAACCGAGTAAGAAAAAATTAAATCATATTTCTATGAATATTTCTAATAATGCAAGGTGCCACAACTGGCGAGAATTGTCTTTCTTTTTCGCATCAACATCTTTGTTTTAAATTTTTCTGTTTCAGATAATGCCGGTAGATATTCAGAGAAATTGTGCAAGGACAAGAATCAAGGCGTGCCATTTTTAAAAGTTCTGATATTTTTCTCATTATGACAATGTGACATGAATCGGAATTATTAAAGATAATTGTTTTAGCCCATAAAACGTCATTCACATTACAATTAAATAGCTGATGTCCCAGCAGAGTCTCGTTGTTTATCAATATAAATGTCGATGTGATATCGACTATGTAGGTAAAACTATCAAGCGTCTAGAGGTTAGGATCGCCCAGCATAATACGGGCCAGATACGGAGATATGGCCCTGTAACATCAGGTTTTCCAACGGCTCATGACTCCACTGTCTGCGAGTGTTTATTGAATTCTGTTGCTTGCAAGACGTACTATTCTCCTGAGTTCTTTGTCTTGCAAAGGGCACAGACCAGATACTACCTTGACATCTTGGAGTCCGTTGTTATTAATATAAAACGTTCAGGCTTGTATAGTGTTGTGGTAGGATCCAGCTAATTTGCATAGTGGAGTACCGACCATATAAATATGGTTGGTACCGGGAAGAGAGGGTGGAATCAAGAGATTCAATCCAGAGACTCTGCCCGACTGCGACTCAGTCAACACATTCTCCAAGAACGGTCTTACCAGGTTATACAAAAGACTATATGTAAATATTGTGTACACTTTCTTGTTTCAATACATTTTGTTCAAAGTACATTTTGTGTTGCATTATTATTCCATGCATTATTCACGTTTCAACATATAGGGAGAGAGAATTGAAACACAAGTTCAGTGAATCTGTCGTCGATTCTACGACAAACTAGGAAAATACTTTTAGTGTATGCGTTCCCTCCTACTGTTTTGGTATATTCTAACATCAGTTGGTGAAATAATTTTTTTTCCCCCACTTTGTTTTATTTGCCGACGATATTTTTCGGACGATGTGTCGGCCTAAAGGTGCCTAAACTTTAATCTTTACGATTCTTTTGTACCTTTATGATTAAAATATGATCCCTTTTTAAAAGATCATCATTCTATCAGGTTGCGGCTGGAATAATCTATTTAAATATTTATGCTTGTGCGCGTGAGTGTGTGCAAACGACGAGCGTATATATATATATATATATATATATATATATATATATATATATATATATATATATATATATATATATATATATAAAAAAATATATACGGAAAAAACAAACAAAAATCCTTATATGCAATTATGCTGTTTTAATGTTAATATGTCAACGTCGGACGTTTCGGTCTAATAAACCATCTTCAGGACATATTCATAAAATATACTTAACATTATCAATTCAACATGACAAAGACGATGTACATAAGAACAAGACTTATCCAAACAGATAACTGAAAATATAAATCATACAGCATTATCTCATATATATATATATATATATATATATATATATATATATATAAAATATATATATATGAGATAATGATATATGATTTTATATATCAGAAACATTCTTACGGAAAATGCATGAAAAAGTGGAAAAATTTGCATGCAATGCGTTTCATATGTTAGGTCTTCATCGGACTAAATTTGTTATGTTGGTGCTGCTACGCATGCGCACATACTAAGATATCTTTTTTTTTAATCTGGACGATTTCTTTTCGTTTTTTTTTTCTTTCTATCACATTTGCGAATAGATATACCACACTTCTGCCGGGATTGGTGAAATATTTAAGAGGCCGGGCGCAAATTTACCGTAGATGACCTTGCGTTCTCTAGACATTTTCGTAGTGTGGAGACTTTTTTTCCTCCTTTGATCAGAGTAGCATATATTATGTCAAAATTGTAGTTAGTATCATTACGGTGGCCAACCGACGCATTTGATGTATTGTTTTGCAAAAGGTCCCTTTTATGTCCATATAATTTTTTCCTGTGTATTTGTGTGACATATATTACAGTATCGACTGAATTCTCCTTCATGTTTTAGCCCATGATTTTATTAGCATTAAGACTTGTATTGTTTTACACGTAGTAGTATTTTTGATATATTTAGAAATATTTTCAGTGCAAAACAAAAGGCTCGTAAAATATTCAGAAAACGTTTGTTAAAAATACATTTAATACTTGTTTATATTAAATATAATATAATAAATATTAATTAATATAAAATACAATTTTATATACAAGATGCGGTTAGAAAGTTGACACCATTTTATATTTTTAATGTCGCGCATGCGCATTGTTTGTTTTAGATTTTTTTGTATAGTAGGGTCGGTTGGGCAGCGTCTGGGAGAAAGAAAAATGATCAGCATGACACAATTCACTTTGCCAGAAATTTGGAAACGGCGTGCTGTACAGCTTGGCATTCCTGCCAGAATCTTCAATATGAACATCTCAGAGTAGCTGGATGTCAATCTGACCAGAGTCGAGAAGATTGCGAAAGTGTTTTATGAATCTAAAGGTGATTACAAAGGTGATTGGGGTGACCACTACTAGTAGCGACGTTATGGCTCCATTTATCTTCCCACAGTGTCTGAGACACTATACGGAGGCAGGCATCACGTGCCTTGATGATATATATACATATATATATATATATATATATATATATATATATATATATATATATATATATGTGTGTGTGTGTGTGTGTGTGTGTGTGTGTGTGTGTGTGTGTGTGTGTGTGTGCATATATATATATATATATTCTTCTGTGTTTTATTCTGGGCTTTATTGATTTATTCATTTATTATTACTAAACATTCATTGCGTTCTCTTTTATTCCATCATTTATTATTACATTCTTATTATCCTTCCGTCTTGTATTTCTTCATTTATCATTAATTTCTTTTACCTGCTTTCTTCAGACTTTTACCCCTTCCTTCATTATTACTTTCTTGTACCATCCTATTTTCTGTTTTTTATTCCTTCCTTTAATATTATTTTTTGTGCTTTCCGTCCCTCCTTTATTTCTTCATTTGTTATTAAGTTATGGTACGTTCCTTCTCTCCTTTATTTCTTTATTATTACGTTCTTATTATTTCTTTATTATTACGTTCTCATTATTTCTTTATTATTACGTTCTTATTATTTCTTTATTATTACGTTCTTATACGTTCCTTCTCTCTTTTTATTTCTTTATTATTACGTTCTTATTATTTCTTTATTATTACGTTCTTATACGTTTTCTTCTCTCTTTTTTTATTTCTTTATTATTACGTTCTTATTTCTTTATTATTACGTTTCTTTATTATTACGTTCTTATACGTTCCTTCTTCTCTCTTTTATTTCTTTATTATTACGTTCTTATTATTCCTTTATTATTACGTTCTTATACGTTCCTTCTCTCTTTTATTTCTTTATTATTACGTTCTTGTTATTTCTTTATTATTACGTTCTTATACGTTCCTTCTCTCTTTTATTTCTTTATTATTACGTTCTCATTATTTCTTTATTATTACGTTCTTATTATTTCTTTATTATTACGTTCTTATACGTTCCTTCTCTCTTTTATTTCTTTATTATTACGTTCTTATTATTTCTTTATTATTACGTTCTTATACGTTCCTTCTCTCTTTTATTTCTTTATTATTACGTTCTTATTATTTCTTTATTATTACGTTCTTATACGTTCCTTCTCTCTTTTATTTCTTTATTATTACGTTCTCATTATTTCTTTTATTATTACGTTCTTATTACGTTCTTTCTCTCTTTTATTTCTTTATTATTACGTTCTCATTATTTCTTTATTATTACGTTCTTATACGTTCCTTCTCTCTTTTATTTCTTTATTATTACGTTCTTATACGTTCCTTCTCTCTTTTATTTCTTTATTATTACGATCTTATTATTTCTTTATTATTACGTTCTTGTACCTTTTTTGATCTCTCTTTCATGCCTTCACTTATTATTATTTGCATTATTATTATTATTATTATTATTATTATTATTATTATTACAATCTTGTACTTTACTTCATCTAGATTTTATTCCTTTATTTATTATTTTACCTTCCTTCTCTCATTTATTCCTTCATTAATTATTACTTTTTTTTACCGTCCTTCCCTGTTTTGTTCCTTCATATATTATTACTTCCTTGTAATTTCCTTATCTCTTTTATTTCTTTATTTATTATTACATTCTTGTGCCTTCCTTATCTGTTATAGTCTTTCATTATTTTATTTTTCTTTCCTTCCTTCTTTCCTTTACTCCTGCTGGTCTCCATCCAAATCTTCTTCTATATCTTCATTTTTTTTTAAATAGTCAATATTCTATTCTTTTTCCTTCTTCTCTTTCTATGTTTCTTCCATCCTTCACATATTTTACCTGTAAAATAGTCTCTTAATTTCATTTAGTACAAATTCTATTTATTTACTTTTTGAGGTAATTAATTTGTCTTCGGCATAATCCATTCTCTCTTTCTCTCTCTCACTAAATCATTCTACTATATATGGTGTCTGAAGTTTAGATTAAGTTGTTCGCTTCAAGAAAAACCTCGGATTTGAAAAGTTGATTTTATATCCAGACTCAAAACCAATAACCAAATTACTTCCTGCTAGTCATTTGCTAAACATTTTATCAATGAAAGCCGAGGTTAATATGAGTAAATATATATCGGGAATCTCGCATTTCTTTTACTTTTCTAATTCGTTACCCCATTTAATATAATCACGGCTTTCTTCCTTAAATATTGTTGCAACACGAAACAAAGAAGAGACAGATCAATAGAGTGTATACATATTATTCCAACAGGACAATGATTTCTGCTGTAAACTGTGTGTAACTATCACATGTTTCACTGATGCAGACATTTATTTGTTTAAGAAATGGCCACACTAACATCTCCATGCCACATAATCTACCGTGGTGGGTAGAATCTGTAATTCATAATGTTTGAATGGGCACGCAGTATATATATATATATATATATATATATATATATATATATATATAGAGAGAGAGAGAGAGAGAGAGAGAGAGAGAGATGGTGGTACACATTTTGAAAAAAAAACTCGGATAGCTCAACTATGAGTAGAACAAATCTGTACCCGAGGAAAAATGAGGAATAAATAAAGAAACAACAAAAGAACATTTAAACATGGCGAAAAAAATCGTCTAATGTTTCAGCTCCAAGTCCAAAAAAAAAAAAAGCCCAAAATGAGTAAAAAGACAACTACGCAAAGTGCTCAATACACTAAGCAGAGCAAAATCATAGATAACCTTTAGGAGCCAGGCAAACCTACCTCGGTTTCACCTAAGCGAGTCTTCAGGGTAAGCTTACCCTGAAGATACGTCTCGATGAATCCTGGCACTTTAGGATTTATTTTAGTTATTCCCGCTCTACTTAGCGATATTATTTTTTTTGGACTAAAGACCTAAGGCACTGGTCGATTTATTTCGCCCTGTTCTGATATTTTTAGTTATCTCTTTTAATTCCCATTTTTTCCTCGGGTACCGATTTATTCTGACATATCTACAAGTTGTGCTATCCGTGGTTTTTCCAAGTGAGTATTACTATTACTATATATGTATATTTATATCTATCTATCTATCTATCTATATATATATATATATATATATATATATATATATATATATATATATATATATATATATATATATATATTATATATATATATATATATATATATATATATATATATATATATATATATATATATATGATTCTAAACAATGATACTTTTGAATTTGGCAACAAAACTATATTGAAACCCTCATTCGAAAAAGAAACAAGCAGAATATCACAGATATTTACAGACACCCAACAACATCTTCATTTCAAGAGCCATCAGCAGAAATATGAAAAAGAAAATATGAGATATTCACTAAAACAAATTCACATTATAGCCAAAAACATCTGCCTTCACCCTCTATTTTAAAATATACAATTTTCTCTCGATGGAATAACTGCAACATTTTCTCTCTCTCTCTCTCTCTCTCTCTCTCTCTCTCTCTCTCTCTCTCCATATATATATATATATATATATATATATATATATGCGATTGCATGGATAGTTGTTTGTAACCCTGGGTTTTTAGTTTTCGCGATCTTCAGACAAGCTGGTTTATTTTTTTCAAAAATGGATTTATTTATGCTATATTTGTTTTTGATTATTCATGTATGGTAGAGGGGGGAAATGTTTTTTTTTCTTCTGTGTTTGTTTGGGATGACACTCACATATATATAGAAACACATGTATACAAGCGTGTGTATGTTAGTTTGTACGAAGATGCATACGCTGTAGTACAGTTATTTCCACAAAATACATCACGCACACAGACACACACATATGAATATATATATAAATAAGTATAATATATATTAATTTATATTATGTATTGTGTCAGGGTGTACCAAAATCTGGACATATCGGCAAACGATTATATATTCAAAAAATGAAATTTTTAACGACATTTTGTTCAATTATGATAACATCTTCAGTGAGATTTTCACTGTTTGTGATGTAACGGCTGAAGATTAACGTAATCATGCGGCAATAACTCCACATTGCCGTCAGTTTTATCGCATTCACTCTTTATGCATTCAATCAAGTGTGTTGCATCTGTGGTATTCATTGAGTGCACCGTCTCCTTTGGCATAGCCTAGAAAAGAAGTCAGCTTTTTCTTCGTTTGACAAAACTTTGTTTAATCTGTGGAGGTAAAGATATAGTTAATGCAGCTTTCTTTGTGTACATACCTAAGAGATAGGGACAACATACACACACGCACTCATAACCTCATACGTACATACGTGTCTGTGAGAGAGAGAGGTGGGGAAAGGGTAGAATAATCATTAAAACCCGAACAACAGAAGTTCACCCTCGAATTGCAGGATCGTCAGGCCAGGGTCAATTTTCGTCTTTAATAGAGAGCACGGATTTGCAAATACGAAAATTATCAACCTCCCCTCTTGTTACAATTTACAAAGTTTACTACCTCCCTTTAACTCTTACTCTTCCTCTCTATAACAGAGCGGAAAGAATAAAAATATGTTTACGCACTAAAAAATATTGAATATCTCGCAAGGAATCTGGATGACATTGCCTTCTGCTAAAAAAAGAAGTTTTCTCATTATTTAAGGTTGGTAAGACGAGTTAAGTAGGACTAAAATTGACTCTGATTTTGCCTACATACTGCGGGCTCAGACTACTCTTAAATATTTGTAAAGATTGTGTATTTTTAACACGCTGGCTAAAATATTTTAACCTCCACTGGATAGAGTAATACTAAATTCTAATAAATATATATTTGTCAACTACTGGTGCATCGACCCAAGTTGAACTCTAGCCTTGTTGGTTCATTTCTCACTTTCAACATAATTTACGCACTTGAGGTAGGATGGTACTGACATAAAGCTTCGGATTGCTTTAATAGTAAATAATCAGTGTCGCTTAAATATGACCAATTGCTTAATTACTGAAATAAACTATTTTTGCTGGTCGATTATCGATAAGACTTATCAGCGAAAAGGTCAATAAAAATTGCCTGGCAGCGAAAAAAAAACAAAGTCTGCATAAATATAGACAGGAAGAAAAAATATATTTGTTATTACCTAAAAAAATTGAGAAAGAATCGACAATGACTGCCCAATCAATATTTGTATTCATTATTCAAACGCTTTTGTTTTCAATGGTAGACAAGATCTTGTGTCTTGAATTTTAATATCTTCTGCACAGAGGCCATTCCTTGGGATGGCACTTTATACACATAGAGATACAAGACGCACACAGACATACATACATACACACACATATATATATTCTCTTACTTGCAGACATAAATATATAAATATACATGAATAAAATGTTATGAATAGCTAACCACTCCCCTAGAGTGTGAAACATTTTGATACACTTCTGGGAATAGAAACATATGCTAACACATCGAAAAAAAAATTCTTTTTCAGCTTATGCTGATTTGCAATAAAAGTTATTGTAGTTTTTGGGGTAAGTGTTGTCCGAAAGGTAATTTAATGCTGCACGTAGCTAAAATTTATGAATTCTATAATATTCTGAAAGGGGATATATATGAATGCACTTCTTTCGATACGACTCTTGTGTAGATAGAGGATTTTAAATGCCTTTACATTAAGAGGGGAAACAGATGAAAATAAGATGCATTTTTGTCATGAGATCTTCTTTTTAAATTCAAAACAAAAAGAAAAAAGAAACGTGCATGAGCTGAAAACAATCTATGTTCTGTTTATAGAAATGATGCCAGAGACAATAGTATTGTTATTAAGTGTCTCGCTAGGTTCAGAAGTAGAGGGTTATTTTTATGGAAGGGACCAGTCTTTGATGATGACCATATCCAAACGCTGATTAAAATAATTCACACTACTCGGGATATAGCAAAGATACTCCACGTATCTCGTCTGGCCATTGTCAGAAGCTTGAAAACATTCCAGATGGGGGAATCAGTACGAAATTTTGTTTGTCTGACAATTTAATGGGAATGAAGTAAAATACTTTGTTTCTATTTGAGGCTTTTGAAAAAGTATCACAGGCGATGAGAAATGGTTTGCTTACAACAATGTGAACCGAAAAAGATCTAACAGAAAGTAAAATGATCTATCATTAACCACTATAAATATTGATGATAACGTAGGTCAGTTTATAGCGGAAACTTATAGCACAGGATGTTTCAGAAAAATTGATATTATCTCGAAATGTAATAACTTAACCAATTCTTGTTCAGATAATCTCAAATTTTAACAGCATATACAAAAATAATTCAACATTCTTTGTTTAATGTTTTAAGATTTTATCAGTTATGGAAATAACATTCACTGAAAAAGAAATGGCGTTTCGTGTGCAAGTGTATGTTTGAACACAGTCAAACAAGACTGGTCAGCAGGGCTTTGTGAAAGAATTTGCTAAAATGCACCAACATCAATGTAGATTTTGACATGGCAAAGAAAGTTTACAGAAGAAGGCAGTATGTGCAAGCCAATCGTATCTGGATTACCGATTTGAGGTGTACCGTGTCACGGGAGGTGCACATTTTGAAAACTACTGAAAACTTATTAAATCGTTCACGAAATACACATACCTTTGAAATTAACATTCAAATTTTCATGAAGAAATCTTATTTTACTCCACAATAAGACTGGATGGTTTCACTTGCTTAAAAAATTTAGTTACTCAAATCATGATATCTTATGATTTTTGAAACATCATATACCGGGTATAAGAGCAAAATTGCCGAAATCGTGTAAAATCAAAATTGTCCATTTATTAGATTCAGATGTGAACTGTTGCATCTCGTTAAAAATGATTAAATGTATCTTACTGGAATTCTTAGAGGTTTTTATAACACAACTGGACTTTAATTTGGGCAATAAGAATGTATTACTTATCCAAGCTTAACAGAAGAATCGTGATAAAACTAATCATAAACGAAAATGACATATCCATCTTTAATTAATCATAGTTAAGGATCGGAAGGTAATGACGGATTGAACCAATGCTCATATATATATATATATATATATATATATATATATATATATATATATATATACTATTACAGGATCATTTACCAACTTCTTCAATATGATATTTGCCCTCTCTAATCTTCTAAAATTCTGTCCTGGGTTAACAAGGTGCTTCAAATGTTTCACGTACGATTTCAATTTCAAGTTTTTGCCACAGCTCTTTTATTTTCATTTCTCAAGTACTTTTGATCGTCTTCCAAGATCATCTTCAGATTTTGGAAGAATATCGAAAGTATTTGAGAAATTGAAAACAAAAGAAATTTTAACAGCTGTAGCACATGTCTCACATCCTTTAACATCCATACGCGAAAGGTTATTGGTGAGTATGAAAAAATTTTATTAGAAATTAGTGAAATTGTTGTGGTAGGATCCACTTAATTTGCATAGTGGACTACCGACCATATAAATATGGTTGGTACCGGGAAGAGAGGGAGGAATCAAGAGATTCAACCAGAGACTCTGCCCGACTGCGACTCAGTCAACACATTCTCCAGGAACGGTCTTACCAGGAATATACAAAAGACTATATGTAAATATTGTGTACACTTTCTTGTTTCAATACATTTTGTTCTAAGTACATTTTGTGTTGCATTATTATTCCATGCATTAGTCAAGTTTCAACACATAAATAGTCTGTAATTTAATTCAATCAGACATAGAGAGAATTTGCTGCTTAAATACAGACACATGCACACACACACACACACACATATATATATGTGTGTGTCTGTGTCTGTGTGTGTGTGTATATATATATATATATATATATATATATATATATATATGTGTGTGTGTGTGTGTGTGTGTGTGTATATATATATATATATATATATATATATATATATATATATATATATATATATATATACATATGCAATGGGGAAATTGTCGACATTTTATATTTTTCATTTTGTTGACTGTACGGTATAGTACATATAGTATAACCGTCTGCGAGAGAAAGACCACCATGACGAAATTCAGAATTTTCAAATGACTGCTTGTTATTCGCGCGGGAAACTCGTATACGAACATTTCAAAGTGTTTCGGTGTCAATCTGAGGAGAGTGCATAAGATTCGGAAAGACTTGGTGGATATATCCAGTCAGCATCATGAAGTTTGGAGTGATCACTTATGATGGAGACGTTTTGCCTTCATCTTCCCACAGGCCCTCAGACTCAACACGGTGACCTACATCAAGTACCTTGAGAATGTAATGCTGGCATGTGTTAAGAGGTTGGCTCCTGGACGTCGTCTGGACGCCTTGGTTAGAGGCAACTGCGCTTGTGTAATTTAGACGACAATTCATCCACCACACCCTGTAGAGCTAAATAGATAGATAGATAGATAGATAGATAGATAGATAGATAGATAGATAGATATGAGTAGGCTAAATATTTTCCTAGTCGTTATGCCCCAGGCAAGGCAATAAAACCGCTATGTCGCAAGAGTTTACATAGCAAGGACGAATAAGTAAAACAAACATTAATAATGAACGAGATGAGGAAAGAGTAATCAGAAGGACTGTAGATAACGATTGACATTGCATTTAATTTTTGCGGATTAAATGTGGCTGGAAAGCTCAGCCATTTTGCGGCGTGAGCGTTAAAGTCACCGAAGGCAAAAATGTTTGTTTGATTGAATGTGCTTATTCTATAATGTCGGCTATTATATCTAATATACACCAGACCTGGGAAGAGAGGTAGCAATAAAGGTAAAAGAAATGGCTAACACATTTCATTAATGAAAGACAAAAGTTGTCTAGGGGCTCGAGAGTCAAATCCCTGCTCATGGGAAGAATATCCTGGATGTAAACACCAAGGCCATGCATGTGAATGCTGGAATCTTTTCGGAAAATTACAAGATAGACTAGAACTAAGAGTGCATTGGTGATAGATAGATAGATAGATAGATAGATAGATAGATAGATAAAATTAAATATGAACTTTTACGGAGATTACACCAACCCTTGAAGTGGCTTGAAAGTAAACTTTAATTTATTTAAATTTACAAAGAAATACATTAATGAAGTTCATCATTTCAATAGGAAATTACTGCCTGTTTATTTTCTATGATCTAATAGCTTGTAAAACACCATTATAACATTTAGTATTTTAATTCGGTAGAATGGTTTGTACATACTGGACACATGGTATGAGATCAAACATAAAGAAAAAATCACATATATTCCCTCAGTGAGAATACTGAGCCCTTCTTCTAAGAAAAATGTGTTCCAAAACATCTTTCAATATTGTAACAAAAAATCATTAACAAATCTCATAGCCTCAAAAAGTTCTAATAAAATCTTCTGGATAGTTCTGTATCAATGTCAAATTATGTTATTCCATTAATGGACTTATAACCTTCATTCTAAAACAGTCAATAATATCCTAACAATGTTTTCTTCGTGAAGAAAGACTCTGAAAAAAAAGGTGAATGAAGACCTTGATCGAAGGCTGCAACAGGCACTTAACACGTGATTGAAAATATTTTTCTTTTAAATTTAAACACCCTGAATGCATTGAAGTGATTATTTTCTCATTGCATCATATTTTTTTTTTCACATTACAACGTTTTATATGTATTACCCTCGAGTTTAAATTCATTCTTAAGAAGAATATTCTAATCATAAAAACGTAAAAGCTTGTCAACATTGCCTAACAGAAGATTCTTTCGATAATTGTTTCCGTCGTATTTTTTATTGCTCGGCTGAAATTTGCTCAAGATTTAATTTTACAAGTTGTACGATTTTTGCTCAGCAAAAATCTCAGTAGGTTTTTGTAAGCATAAATGTAAGAATATTGCTAAAAACCTATATGCCTCTAAATATATATATATATATATATATATATATATATATATATATATATATGTGTGTGTGTGTGTGTTTGTGTCTGAGTGTGTGTGTATGCGTTAGTGAGTGTGTGCATTAGTGAGTGTGTGTGTATGAGTATATACACAATTAGATAATATATATTTATATATTTTAATAAAGAATATCAGGTTAACAAAATGCTGTCGCAGTCCATATATTATAGTAGGATTGCGGTTTATATATATATATATATATATATATATATATATATATATATATATATATATATATATGTATATAGAATAATGAAACAAATCCTTTTTTACCTCATATGGAGGATAGGCTATTTCTGCAGGCGATGAAAATAGTCTATGTGCAATGAAGTTCCCGTCAGTAATATTAGAGGTCGCTGGAAGTAGCTATGAGGAATTGACATTTGGAAGCTAAAGGGTTAACTTAAACTTTAACTTGCCGAAAACACCTCATATGAAGTTTACACATTTAAATATTTCCGCGAAAAGATAGGCACAAGCCAGAAGTCCTGTATGGTGGTAAGTATCAATCTGAAAATGGAGAAGTTGTATTGAGAAACAAAAACAGAATATTAACCTTAGGAGGACAAAATGGGGGAAATCAAAAGAAAACACAAATATTTAATTTAAATTTAAAATTAAAGGAGAAATTAAAAATAACTCAAAAATAAACTTAAAAAAAATATATAGAAACAGAAAGGTAATGGATTAATGGAAAGAGAGTTAGGGAGATAATTTACGTAGAGGAAGTTTATAAATTATAAATAATATATCATATGAAAGGTTTGAGAGGTGGAGGGGGTCTGACTTAGGGTTGTTAAATAAGGCAAAATTCCACTTTGTGAATTACAATTTGTTTTTGGTTTTTCATGTAGATGTTTGAAGAGTTAGATTTCATCGGAGTGGCGGAGTGATTTTGGGTAGCCAATTAAAGCAAAATTATATTATTGAAATTTGAATTTGTTTTTGTGTCGACATTTTAATATTAAGGATCCATTTGGATTATATACCAACGGATTTTTTCCTTACAATATATATATATATATATATATATATAGAGAGAGAGAGAGAGAGAGAAAACACACACACACACACACATATATATATATATATATATATATATATATATATATATAAAAACGCAGATTGTGTGTGTGTGTGTGTGTGTGTGTGTGTGTGTGTAACGTTTATATATTGGATCGAATTTCCTACATTTTTTAGCCGATTTCAACAAAACTTCACAGGACTACATAAAATTACCTTGTGATGGTTCTAACGGCGCCGAAAATGGGAAAAACACAATTGTTTTTTTTAACAAAATCAATTTGAAAACACGATTAAGACACATCGTGAGAATGAAAGGGGGACAACTCACCCACGAAAATGTAAACAAAAGAGCATAGCATGATGAAAAAAAGCCGAACTTGACGAAAACAAAATTTTATCGTCTAATGTTCATATTATCATTAAAGAGGAAAGATCAAAGTATTTTGGGGGTATTTTTTACATTTTTAATCGTCCTCGCCCGTCTGAAATTTTCGTTAAAATATTGTTTTTTTTTGTCAAAAAAGGACAGATAATCAATCATTTTCAATCATTTTTTCGATTTGATAAAAAGATTAAAATCTGATTTTGATATTCTTTTAAAAATCAATTATCATTTTTTCAAAACTGATTTTAATAAAAACAGATATTATACTGTTTATTTAAAATATTTTGAACCAAGCTTAACTTAGCTTCTGCGCCGAAAAAATGTAATTTGAAAATAAAACAAAGCAGGTCATAACCTTTCACGTCGCTTGACGATTGACGAAAGGCACATTCATGACGTTTAGATAACTTACGGGAGGATAATTCTTTCTATGGATGGAAGGAAGTGAAATTATTTAAGTGAACAAATTATTTACCTCGTTACTTTTAATGAAAACTTTCAGCGCTCTAATTTTTTATTTTTTTTTTTGTACTTAGCTTTCATTTTTACGTTTACGATGCTTTATGGAAAATATAAAGAAATTAAAAAATAAGACTGTAATAGATTAAATTTCATAAGAAAATGGTATCTAATTAATTTAGGTACCTTTCTTATGAAATTTTATCAGAAGTGTACATAAAATACTATAATTTTATGTACATTTATTACATTTTACTATGTTATTTGTACTTCCATTCATTTTATTATTAATTTTGATATTTCATTCATGAAAAAAATGTCATAACTGAGATTAATATAAAAATAAGATCATATAAATTAAAGTTTAGCAGTAGTTAAATTTCATGAGATGATACTGTTATTGTAGGTACCCTTCTCAGTTGAAATTGAAAATTCGAATTAACTTCTCCACACGTGTTTCGCAAAAGTAAAGGGCTAAACAGCGGAGAACAATGGTGAACTCAAATAATGCAACTAAATTGTATTCTGGTTGGTCTTCCGTACTTGATAATTACTGTCCGACTATAAACACAACAATTACATTTCTTAATTACCATGGCTAATCTGATTGGTCCAAATTATACAATTTTCAAAGCGCTAGACAATGACAATCTCACACGGACATTTTGAAAGTTTGATGTTGCTTTTAACTAATGTTAAAATATTTTTTTAAATTCAATTTAAAAAAATTTTTTAAATTTTTTTAAAATTAAAGAAATAAGAAATAATTGTATTAAAAATTCAATTTTCATTGAAAAAAATTTTTTGCTTTCAGAAAATATTGTCCATATTCATAAAAACAAATTAAAACAAATAAAAGCATTTGAAACTAACTAATATATTTGTTTTATAGAGTTTTGTATGTTAAAATTCACAGCTGATTTTCAGGTAAGTTGGCGAAATAAAAAAAACAAAAAAACATGATTTGCATTCTTCAAAGCCTTCTGCTTTTAACTATTGTAATCACTAAAACCGATGGTCTCGAATTTCTAGAGTTTTTCATCAAATTAGTTATGGGGGTGATAATAAATATAAAAAAAATATTTCTGCCATGACTTTAATAAAAAAAAAACATATTTATAATAATTTCGATCATCTGTGAATAGTTTCTGAAAGTTTCATTAACATCTGACAATTATTTTTTCTTTTTGCAAGATTTTCCAAATTAAGTGTGTAAATACAAAAAACGCGCTAAAATTATCTGTTATTTACTACCCCTTGTTGCGACAAAGAGAAACAAGGTTTTTAAATCAAAATTTAGAATATTTTAAAAAGATGGAAAAATTTTAAAAAATAATTTAAAAAAAAGTTAATCTATCCTCTTCATAAAAACATAAGCATTTTGACGATAAAATTTTGTTTTTCAGTCTTTATGATGGTCGATACTTGATCTATCTCTTACTGTTACATCCCCGGGGAAAGCCGGGCTCTACTGCTAGTATATATATATATTCATCCTATACGGAACCGCCATTTAGCTTGACGTGCCTAACCTCTCGGCCACAAAGGATCGTTCGTTTGGCAAGGTCGAATTTACAGCTGATAAACTTCAATCTTCCATGAATCTCGTACATTCATAACTGCTCATGGCGTATCAAATGTAAACAAATGACGTCATACATTAAGAAATGGACAAAGTCCGACAATTTATTAATGACATTTGTATGTTTAACATTCTTTTTATAGATACAAGTATTTAAGTAAATGCTCTGTTTATAATAAACAGTATTAAATAACATTTACCGGCCTGAATGTCCGAGAAATTTTCATAGAATCCTGTCAAAGGTCGAATATTTTCTATGAAAATTTCTCATATATATATATATATATATATATATATATATATATATAAAGAAAGCAAGGAAAATCATATTGGTATTTCCGCAGATGAATGGAAGCAGCCTATGTATAGCCATCGGCACTCATTTTCCAACCCCAAATTAAAGTGTCAAACTACTCTTTTCCGCAAAATTTGTGAACTGAGTGAGAAAAAAAATGAACCCGCAGATTGACTGGAAAATAATCGCGTTTGCCCAAACTTCTAATAGCTTTAAATGTAGATACAATCCATGCCTACATGAGAAAATTAAAATCATTAAATTTGAAAATCAAAAGATACTCTTAAACCAAAGGAACGAATGAATTTCTAAATGTCGTCACAGCTTACC